ATTGTTGTTTTTTTTGCATATCCCAACTCCCCGAGACACCCGAGTGGGGTCACAGCCAGGGTCGCCATTGTACAGTGCCCCTGGAGCAATTAGGGTTAAGTGCCTTGCTAAAGGGCACTGCGACAGATTGTTTTTATTCACCTTGTCTGCTCCAGTATTTAAACCAGCAAACTTTCGGTTACTGGCCCTATGCTCTAACCTCGAGGCTACGTGCAGCCAAGAATCTGTGACAGAGGTTTGTGGAAAGCTGATCACATTTCTCAGAATACTCTTCTGTCATCAGAAGACCACAATATGAGAGTGCATGACAAACATTAAAACGCCAAGGACATGACTGTGACTTGAAAGACAGGTTTGAATTTGACAGTGATTTCCCCAGGTATCCCCACAGGTATGCTGGCATTGCAGACAGGCTTTCAGAAAGCAGAAAACAACCAGTGAGTGTGAGAAAACATCTACTACTAGCTAAATTAAACAACATTTTGCTCCATAAAGTAATACAGCAATGTGTACGCCGCCATCTAGTCTATTTCAAATCTTCTCTCATTGATTGAGAAAGGTGGGCGAATTTAGGAAGGATCGCCAAGTAAAGGTTGGTCGAAAATGTAATGGTTGTATGGAAGCGTATACATACTGTATCACTGCCGTTTCAAAGTGTAGCTAATCTACTACAAGATGTCCAAGTGCTCCTGAAAACAGATTCAGCTGGAAACAACTCACGTTGTTGTTTTGCAATGCATACATGGCACAGGAGGGTGACTACAGTGGATGCTGGTCAAGCTTTTTTCCTTGCAATCACATTCTCAAATGACTGCCTCGCCTGGTTCACCAACTACTTCTCAGATAGAGTTCAATGTGTCAAATCGGAGGGCCTGTTGTCTGGACCTCTGGCAGTCTCTATGGGGGTGCCACAGGGTTCAGTTCTCGGGCAGACTCTATTCTCTATGTGTATCAATGATGTCGCTCTTGCTGCTGGTGACTCTCAGATCCACCTCTACGCAGACGACACCATTTTGTATACATCTGGCCCTTCATTGGACACTGTGTTAACAAACCTCCAAACGAGCTTCAATGCCATACAACACTCCTTCCGTAGCCTCCAACTGCTCTTAAACGCTAGTAAAACTAAATGCATGCTCTTCAATCGAACACTGCTTGCACCCGCCTGCCCGACTAGAATCACTACTCTTGGCGGGTCTGACTTAGAATATGTGGACAAGTACAAATACCTAGGTGTCTGGTTAGACCGTAAACTCTCCTTCCAGACTCACATTAAGCATCTCCAATCCAAAGTTAAATCTAGAATCTGCTTCCTATTTCGCAACAAAGCCTCCTTCACTCATGCTGCCAAACATGCCCTCGTAAAACTGACTATCCTACCGATCCTTGACTTAGGCGATGTCATTTATAAAATAGCCTCCAACACTCTACTCAGCAAATTGGATGTAGTCTATCACAGTGCCATCCGTTTTGTCACCAAAGCCCCATATACTACCCACCATTGTGACCTGTACGCTCTCGTTGGATGGCCCTCACTACATATTCGTCGCCAAACCCACTGGCTCCAGGTCATCTATAAATCACTGCTAGGCAAATCCCCGCCTTATCTTAGCTCATTGCTCACCATAGCAACACCCACCCGTAGTATGCACTCCGGCAAGTATATCTCACTGGTCATCCCCAAAGCCAACACCTGCTTTGGCCGCCATTCCTTCCAGTTCTCTGCTGCTAATGACTGGCACGACCTGCAAAAATCTCTGAAGCTGGAGACTCTTATCTCCCTCACTAACTTTAAGCATCAGTTGTCAGAGCACCTTACCGATCACTGCACCTGTACACAGCCCATCTGTAATTAGCCCACCCAACTACCTCATCCCCATATTGTTATTTATTTTGCTCATTTGCACCCCAGTATCTCTATTTGCACATCTTCTTCTGCACATCTATCACTCCAGTGTTAATACTAAATTGTAATTATTTTGCAATATGGCCTATTTATTGCCTTACCTCCATAACTTACTACATTTGCACACACTGTATATAGATTTTCTATTGTGTTATTGACTGTATGTTTTTGTTTATCCCATGTGCAACTCTGTGTTGTTGTTTTTAATCGCACTGCTTTGCTTTATCTTGGCCAGGTTGCAGTTGTAAATGAGAACTTGTTCTCAACTGGCTTACCTGGTTAAATAAAGGTGAAAAAAAAATTTATAATACAATACAATATAATACAATACAATACCTAAACTACTCACAAATTTGGTACACTGACAGCTGTCATTTTATAATCAGCAGCAGCTCTGCATTGTGTAGCAGCAAGCTAGTAGCTAGCTCCTGTAGCTACTGTCCTATCAGGTATTAGCTTCCTAGCTAGCTAGGTTGTTAACTGCTCTTTAACCAAAAGTCAAGCTAGCTATGTTAGCTATAGTTAGCTATCTTGTCAAATAGGATATGGCTGTACAGACTGCACTGTGTCATTCTGACATTAGATAGCCAAGTTAGCTAGCTAGCAACAATTGTTGTTTTTGTAACACAACATTATGTGTAACGGTGATTTTCTATTGACATAACTACACACACTGTATACAAAAAATGCATTCCAAATAAAACCCTAACGTTACCTCTGTTTTCAGTGTCATTCACACCCGGTCTCTGCTTTACTCGTACGCTCAGCTAGCTAACGTTAACGTTAGCTACAGCTGGCAACCACTGCCAGTGCCACTGCAGTTGACAGCTAACGGCAAACAAGTTCAGCAAATAATTCTGTATCTAGAATTAATGAACACAAAATGAGTAACAAGTTAAGACGTCCAGGTTTCCATTAAGTCAGTCTCCGACACGGGGCACCGGCAAAATATTTTCGGTCTCGCCAGTACGATGCAACAGTATTCTGCCTGGTTGCCATGAAAAGAAGAGCACAGCCCATCACGCTTGGGCGTCAGCGAGAACACATGGACCACATCACGCGAGACCAAGCTTCTTCTTCTCCTTTGGGTTTATTAACTACAGATACTGTATGTTGTTGATACGTGGTAGATATGTGGAAGTGGCCTGAGGGCACACACTTAACGTGTTGTGAAATCCGTTGCGAAATGTATTGTAGCTAATGGTTTTTTTAAATGGTATATAAACTGCCTTAATTTTGCTGGATCCCAGGAAGAGTAGCTAATGGAGAGCCATGTTAATTACAAATACGTAATACACGCAAAAAGGTGTATTGTCGCCACCAACTGGACGGGGGTAAAAAATTCCACTAGAGGGAAGAGAAAATTAACATTAATCCACACAAACTACGAAATAATAATACAAATATATATAATAAATATTCCTGCTCCTTCAGTCATTCGAAACCTCAAATCCCCTGCTAAGGCTCTGGGGCTCTCAGTTTACTTAAAAACTAGCAGTCGTTCAATCTTCTCGGTGTAACAGTTGGGATAATGGGACAATTGGGAGTACAACGCATTTCTCATCCCTGGATTGAAGTACGTTTTCCGAGACATGTCTTGTGCCGGCTCCGCGGTGTCTTAAGTACGTTTTTCCGAGACATGTCTTGTGCCGGCTCCGCGGTGTCTTAATCTACAAAGGAAGCCTGTCCGACACTAGTGCAGCTGTAAGAAAGTGGGTCAGATCTGCTGGCTACCCCCAAGCCATAAGACTCCTGAACAGCTAATCATGGCTACCCGGACTATTTGCACTGCCCCCCCACCCCATCCTTTTACGCTGCTGCTACTCTGTTAATTATTTATGCAGTCACTTTAACTCTACCCACATGTACATATTCCTTCAACTATCTCAACTAGCCGGTGCCCCCGCACATTGACTCTGCACCGGTACCCCCCTGTATATATACCCCCCTGTATATATAGCCTCCCTACTGTTATTTTATTTTACTTCTGCTCTTTTTTTCTCAACACTTTTTTTGTTGTTGTTTTATTTTTACTTTTTTTGTTAAAAATAAATGCACTGTTGGTTAAGGGCTGTAAGTAAGCATTTCACTGTAATGTCTGCACCTGTTGTATTCGGCGCATGTGACCAATAACATTTGATTTGATTTGATACATGTGCACCTACCTGTGCAACGTAGGTCATATCAATGTTTCTATTATTATTATTATTATTATTATCATTATTATTATTATTTCAATTGTATTTTTTATTGTATTTTTTATTGTTGGGAAGGGCCGTAAGTAAGCATTTCACTGTTAATCTACACCTGTTGTTTACAAAGCATATGACTATTAAAATTTGATTTGATTTGAACTCTAACAAGAGATCGGGACCTTTAAGCCTCTGGCACTGGTGATATAGCCTACATGCCCCATAACAAAGGGGTCACTGGTCCAAGTCCCGCACTGACTGGTGCACCTAAATTGCTACACTGGTGGCAGCAGTGGGATAATCACTGCAGTCTATCACCTGTCTCTCTTTCTCTGTCTCTGTCTCTCTCTAACAGTATAATAATTATGCCCTTAGAGAGTGACAGAGACAGAGAGACAGGTAATAGACTGCAGCGACTGCCACCATTATATTATATGTGGTCTTTGCAGCTATATGATACTGCCATCTACTGTTAAGGATCGGTGACCGCTTATGAGACAAAGAGTGTCTGTGTTAAGAGAGTGAGGCAGAGAAACAGGCAGGCGGGCGGACAGACCTACAGAAAAAGAGAGAGAGGGGGGAAAGTGTGTGTGTGCGTGTGTCTGTGTGTTTGTGTGTGTGTGTGTGTGTGTGTGTGTGTGTGTGTTAGATTGACTGTCTGTCTCCTTAGGGTCAAGTGAGGAAACAGGATCTTTGGGGTCAAAGGTGCATCTTCAGTGTCTCCTCTACACAAACAAACTATGACATCAGTTTGTACAGACTTCAATTCCTGAATAGCAGTTGAGTGTAATTCCCACTTCCATGCCGGATTTCTAAAACAGGGGGGCAGGCTGGCAACTAGACTAGATGACAACACCGGATTGAGGAAATTGACGAGGGCAAACCATGTGGGGAAAAAACAAACTTGTTTTAAAGCCGATATAACCATGCAACCTCATGTATTAAGTCACTCCGTCCAAGCAGCGACGTCGTCAGCCCAGAACAGCTCTTCCCAATATTCAAGGCGCACCTTGCTAATCTTATCCAAAGATGTATTTTCTCCTTTTCACAGTATTCTCCATATTCATAGTGCGTAATGTTGACGCTTGGGGAGCAAGTGTCAAGTACGCAGTGAACTGCCCGGAGCGGTGCAATGTGGACCTGTGCGGCTTGACGCAGCGCTGCAGACGGACAGTGCTGGATGACTGCGGTTGTTGCCAGGTCTGTGCGGCAGACAGAGGGGAACACTGCTACCGCACTGTGTCTGGGATGCACGGAGTCAAATGCGGACCGGGATTATTCTGCGAGTTCTACAAAGATGAGGACGACTATGGAGATGAATATGGCATTTGCAAAGGTAGGCTATATTCACCATGACACACAATATGCGCAATCGCGCATCATAAATGCCTGACTGTTTCATTACCGTTATTCCAAAGTGATCTATAGTTTCTGTGTTCATAGCATTCCTAAAAGTTCCCATAATGAATAAGATGCCTACTGTGACATGTTTCATGTAGATATTAGTATTTATGTCAAAGTAAATATGTTTCTGCTGTACCATAATTGTGTATGTTATGCTTAGCTTTGACTGTGGCCTTGATGAATGCAAAGTTTTTCTAATTGTGATGTTTACTATTTCTGCTCATGTTGATAGTGTTGAAGAGAACTGTATCTGTAGGCTTATATCACTATAATGCAGATCTGGCAAATGACCAAGAGCGAGGAATCATGGACCTATAGCATTGACCAGAAGAGAATAGAAAATAAATATTGATGGCCCGCTGACATCCCCACTCCCTACTTCTGTCAAGTGCAATAACATTACATTGTATTCCCTCCCTTACAGATTGCATGTATGGAACATATGGGGTGGAGTGTCGTAAAACATGCCATTGCAAAGCTGGAGGTATCTGTGACAGAGAGACAGGAGCCTGCCTCACCTTCAAATTCTTCACCAAAATCGCCAGCAAGCTGAAGACACAGCACCCCAACGCAGGTAAGAGATTGACAAAATACTTAAATGTGAGAGACACCCAATGGGACACAGATTCTGGACTATGAAGCACTTCCAATGGAGATTATCCAGTGCTTTTCAATCCAGGTGAAGGCCTTATCTTTGTCTGAGAAACTGTACGCTAGAGTAAAAAAAAAAAAAAAAATACATTTTAGCATGTTTTGGATACACAATGTGGAGTAGCACTAAGCAAAGATACAATTACAAGCAATCCAGTTATGAAAATGCAGTGTGTGTATCTTTGTGAAGTATTTGCAGTGTCATATCATGTTGAATAGATATTGACCAGGTGATGTTTCTCGTTTTCAGGAAGTGAGCTTGGTTCAGGAGATGACAGCACCGGTCTGAATGGGGAAAGATCCACTGCTCCAAAGTGGTTAACACCTCGCTGACACTCATTATCAAGACTTAGTTTATTCTGTGTAAATGTAGAAAGCATAGTAGTAAATTAAATGATTGAAGGATATATTTTATTATGTATTATTAAGAAAACACATTTTCTACAAGATTATTGAATGTTTTGAACATCTCTGTTGTGGTGTTTCTGTTTTATACCAGTGCCCCATCATGTCTTAAGAGTTGTGTTGTACCAAACAAAGGGAGGTAAAATGTACCAAAGTTAAAATATATGTTAATTCTACTTTTATGCAAAGTATGAATATATCCAGAATGTCTATGATGACCTCTATCATGAGCTAGCAATCTATCCATACTGTATTCACTGCTCCGTAATTGAGAGAATTTGGTTTAATGAAATGTTGTGCTCATATGATATGACCCCCAGGGACATGGAAATATAATCTCGTCCTTTTCTTCTAGAAGTATCAACTGTGATCTGCGCTTTCAATAGTTTGTTTGTTTGATCGATTGATTGTTCTTTACTGAGAATCTCTTATTTTTCTTTCACCTGTGACCACATGGAACACTATATATATATATATATATATATATGTATGTCATATCACCTGCCAATGTACAGTATGGTCTTACAAATAAACCAAAGTTGACCTGGAAAAAAACCAGTTTGAAGCACTCTGTTTATTCATTGCAGTTTATTTATCTTATATGTTGTTAAAAAAAAATCTGAAAAAAAGAGTAAGATACATTCTAGTCATTTAGCAGATGCTCTTATCCAGAGCGACTTACAAGAGCAAATAGGGTTAAGTACCTTTCTCAAGGGCATATCGACCTAGTCGGCTTGGTGATTCGATCCACCGACCTTTCGGTTACTGGCCCAACGATCTTAGCCGCGAGGACATCAATTTAATCTACAAAGCTATGTTTTATCTGACTGCAAAATGATTATAGTGATACCACGAGGCATCCCATGGCTGACAATAAAAGATGCAAAACTGTGGTTGTCTCACTACTTCATGACAAATGCTAAAGATTTTGCCCAAATGGATTACACAAAGTGTATGTTCATAATTTATAGAAAAGTTTGTGGTCATACGCACATCCTTAAAAAACGTAGATGCTGGGCTAATGAAGTTAACTTGAAAAAAACAGAAAGGGTTGATTAGTCTCCCAATTACCACCTTTATTGACAACGTTTCAATCCACAAGGATGTTCGTCATAACTTTATAGCCAAGTTAAGAGCCTAGTATTGTCCCTCAATTGAATCACTTTGGAACACATGGAACTCCTGGACCTCCTTTGGAACACATGGAACTCCTGGACCTCCATTGGAACACATGGAACTCCTGGACCTCCTTTGGAACACATGGAACTCCTGGACCTCCTTTGGAACACATGGAACTCCTGGACCTCCTTTGGAACACATGGAACTCCTGGACCTCCATTGAGTGGCCTACTTCCACCCTGACTCTGAAAATACCCCGGTCAGGGTTAAAAATAGCCTGTTATTAGCCTACCCCTCACCTCAGAGAATCAGAACGGTACACAACATAACTGTTTTCCAGCATCGGGCTTGTTTGTTTCCTGTTCCTGGGCTTCCTGACACCTGTGAAAATGGTCCCTCTTCCTGTTGTTGTTGTGCCTGCCTAGGGATTTAAAAGGCTTGGAATTTGTCAAGTGACACACGTCATTGGTGTGACTGTCGGACCGTCATTCCCGGCAGAGCTAGAGACACCGTGCTTCCTCCCTGGCTGCTTGGGTTTATCTGAATTCTTTCCTGAAACAACTTCAAGTCAACACCTAAACACAAACAAGTTCTCACACTCACAGGGAGCAAAGACATGTTGCACGGCGGTGTCAGCAATAACAGGAGTGTAATGTTGTGAGAAGGCACATCATTGGATAGGATAGGATAGACTAGAATATTAATCTATTATACCAAGACAATGTACTTGTGTTCAGATGGAAGGCGTTTCCTTTTCGGCATATTCCGATCCCCTCTCTCATTATTTAAACCATCAGGAGGATGGCTGGACAGTCTCCTACAGAACTCCAGCAGCTGTAGTCACACAGGCTACAGTAAAGGTATCTGAACCCATCATGTACTTCGAGGACATCATGTCCGTCAGTGCTTCTCTGTTCATACTGTCGGAGGACACACATCACACACGTGTGTGTTGAAGCGTGTGACTCGCTTGACATCTAATCATCACCGGTTTCTTTCAGGTGACATAATTAATGCTGGACTTTATATCTATAGAAACGGTATGAAGCGTGTCATGATTGGCAGAGTACGTAGGTTATCCAAAGTTTTCGAGCTTTTCATGTAGACCTACAAAGATTTAGAGCTTTTTATGGTCTAACCTCAGCCACCCATGACAAAGATAGTGTACACTCTATTGAATGCCAAAGATAGTGTACACTCTATTGAATGCCAAAGATAGCGTACACTCTATTGAATGCCAAAGATAGCATACACTCTATTGAATGCCAAAGATAGTGTACACTCGATTGAATGCCAAAGATAGTGTACACTCGATTGAATGCCAAAGATAGTGTACACTCTATTGAATGCCAAAGATAGTGTACACTCTATTGAATGCCAAAGATAGTGTACACTCTATTGAATGCCAAAGATAGCATACACTCTATTGAATGCCAAAGATAGTGTACACTCGATTGAATGCCAAAGATAGTGTACACTCGATTGAATGCCAAAGATAGTGTACACTCTATTGAATGCCAAAGATAGCATACACTCTATTGAATGCCAAAGATAGTGTACACTCTATTGAATGCCAAAGATAGCATACACTCTATTGAATGCCAAAGATAGTGTACACTCTATTGAATGCCAAAGATAGCATACACTCTATTGAATGCCAAAGATAGCATACACTCTATTGAATGCCAAAGATAGCATACACTCTATTGAATGCTAAGGAGTGGATAGCCTTGACCTGGTCAAGGGCCACGTCAAGGTGAGAGCCCATGAAACAGGACGTGTTGCATGTCAGGATGCAACACCAGAACAACAAGCCTCAAACTGTGACTGCCAGACAGGTCAGGGTTGCAACAGAAAACGTTTTAAAACGTAATTCAACAGAAACTGAAAAAAAAGTGTTTCTTAATGGACCAGTTAGTCCACACATTCCTTCCCTGTTTCAGTCAGTTTTAATGAACACAACACAGGTCTGATAAGAGGCTGATCTGTGATGGCTGTGAGGGGTGTTGATAGTGTTCAGCCTCGCATGTTCCTGTCATTCCCCTGAGAACCAACACAGTGAGACTTCACAACCAAACAAAGGGCCCTGCAAAATAACAGGAAAGTGTTGGTGAGAAATACCCTTTATCTGACTCCCGAGCACGTCAGCGCCGCCACACAGAAACAAAGGTGTGTGAACGCAGCAGTAAATAACCCTGATTTATGGTCAATGTCCTTTCTATTATTTACACTGGACTTACTTCACAAATGGACTGGCCATAGGGCAATTCAGCCAACTGCCCGGTGGGCCATTCCATCATTTGGTTAGCGGGCTGGTCTGATGGGAGAACAAAATATTGCAAAAAAAAAAGAGAGATAGACAGAAAGGATGCGAGCACTAATTAATCTAAATGGCTGCTGTCCCATTTCATAGACACAGGCCGAGAAAAAAAATGGTGCATCTGAAATGCCCGGGCTGGTTCCTTGTCCCAGTCCGCCCCTGCCACTTATTTCAACAGGTTGTTTATTAGCACAGTCAAGTGGATAATAAAAGGCAACATGTCGTGACCTTCTAGGAAATTAACTGATGTCTGGGTCTCCCACTAAATACAACAATGAATCGGACGGATATCTAATTCAGGAATCAAAAGAAAATTTTAACTGATTAGGTGGTTTGGAATTCCAGGGTAGTTGGCTTACACACAACATGCCATTGAACAATTTCCAGTCTAGCTTTGAAGTGACAAGTGGCATTTTTGCACGCAGGCTTAGCCTGGTGTGATACCACTGTTATGTTGGATGGCCACGCCTCAACTGTTCTATTTGATTAATGTGTCTTTCCATTGGCTGGTTCCCTCAAGTTTGATCTCTCTGAGGTCCTCACAGCCTCATGGGACACGTTCAGCAGGGCACACCATGGAAAATGTTTAAAAACCTTTTGCAACAGAAAACAAAAATGTGCTTTTCTTATTGAAAAGTAGATCCTTTCCTGTTTCAGTCAGTTTTCTTCAGTTTGGTGCCTAATGAACACAACCCTGGAGCTCTTCAACAGTTCACTGCTTACTGTCTGAGTTTAATTGGCTAAGGCTGTGACCCACTTGACCCCCTGATGAACTTTGTACCTTAAAGTCTGAGCACCAATTGGAGCATTGATACCTTCTTGCTAACTACTTGAACGCAGCATGTATAGCCTATAACTACAACAAGTTAGCAAGTCGGAAATGTCCGAGTTCCAACTAGCACGTGAACGTGGCATCTGTCCGCTTCCTGGTTGGAGGTTTTCACATGATAGTGCTCACAGGATTGATTGTGATTGGTTTGAAATTTTAATTTTCTTGAATTTTAAACCAATCACAATCAGTCATGATCAATAAAGACATGTGTTCATGAGTGCACAGTGCACACTGTTTGACTGTCAAACCATGAAGCTGGCTGATAGGCTCTTCAATAACGAGGCAATAAGAGCCAGTAAACAGCCTATTTCAGGCTAACATTTCATGATTGTGGTAGCAAGTTCCTTCTTAAACATCTTGTAATCATTAAATGCATGATTAGAAAGAGGTTTTGGCGCCAGACCAATTGTTGGAGCGTTCCACCATAAACCCTAGGAAATTCCGGAAAATATCGGACATTATACAATCATACATCTCTTTCTCATACAGGCCTATAAACAGTTTATTTCGTATAACTGGGTCATTTTTTGTGTCAGGGCAGGAACTGAAATGAATGCAGGCCTACGTTTTGCTAATCTAGCCTGGTCTCATATCTACAGTCTGCTGTATAGCCAACTCAAGCCATAGCAAGCATAAACAGATCAGGGACCTATACACAGGGGCGGTGTGTTCAATAGGGCGATATGGGCGACGCACTGCCAAACGGGAAAAGGAAGGGATTTTTTTTCTAATCAATTATATCACGGCAACAGTAGTTATCAGTGTTGTAATCTAGACGTCTGATCTGCCACAGTGCCACTAAATGTCCAATCAGGCTAAAGTCGTGCTTCAAATGGCCCCCCCCCCCCCCCCCTTTTGGGGCGATTTCAGTCAGGTTGAAAATCGCCCAGAAGTCTGTCATAGACTCCCATGTAAAATCTATTTTTTTCAAATATCAGAGCTTTCAATACAATCTCTATGGGTTTCTGAGGGCTTGCACTTACGCGCTTTCGTCATACGTAACATAACCATGAACGTAACTAAGAAAAGAGCGGGTAGCAGCGTCAATCAATTCACTATTACTGTCAAAATGGCTAGGCTTCAGTGCAACTCGATTGTGTCTTTGAAAGAAGTTCCTTTTTGTCGGCGAACAAATGAAGATAAATTGGCAACGAAACAATTAGGACCTCCCAGACCAAATTTAATAATTCAACAGGTTTCTACTAAAGGGGGGA